CAGGACTGCTCAAAACAGCAGGTATCTCTGCAGACCCCCTCCCTGCTGTTTGGAAGTGTATTGATGCAGGCAGCTGGACGGAGATAGGCTTTTCCCTGGGGTCATAGGGCTAGAAACAAGCATTGCCCAATAAAGTGGATCAGCCATGCCACAATGCATCATGGGAGAGCAGATCCACTTCACTGGGCCAACTATGTCTCCACTTATCTCAGCCCTTGATGGTACAGGACAAGGAGCAATGTGGTCTTCCTGCTTTCCCTGCTCAGCCACAGCCATCCCCCAGGATCAGGGAGTGGAGCTCTTCCTCACTCAGCATGACTCACTTCTGAGATCGCAGGGAATGAGAATCCCGACTTCCCGCCTGTGGAGAGGCACCAAGATCACTTGGGTGCCGCTCTGCAAGCAGAGGAAGTGGGCAGGTGGTCCAAGTGCTGCAAGGGCCCTCATGCCCCGAGAGCACCTGCTGGGGGGGAAGGGTGGGCTGGAGAGCGAGCAGCTCAGGCCGCTCTACTCTTCCCTGCTGAGCTAACATGTCTGCACCATTGAGCAGCACAGTCTATTACTCCTGTCTATGGCACCACCGATTTTCCTCTGACATGGCCTGATGGGGTAGTGACAACTAATAGCTCACCATCTATACTCCGGTAAAAACTTATGGTGGCACAAAAGATATCAGGCAACATCTGTTTCCACCCCACCTTCATACGCCTCTGAGGATGGTCAGGCATGAGAACAGGCTGCCTAGAAGCTGTGGAGTCTACATCCCTGTCCAACCTCCTCTTGAAAACTTCCAGATACTTGGCTGGGATGAGGCTGGATTAAATGCGACCTCCCTCCCAACCCTGCTCTGCTCTTGCCAATTCTTCCTCTCCCTCCTAGAGGAAAAGTCAGCACAAGCTTTGAGACTTCATCTGTCTGCCATGTTTGCAGGGCTCCAAGGAGTCCAAATGAGAGCAAGGACAGTTGCTCAACCCTCTGGCCCTGTGTGTTGCTGATGAAACAGAGACCCACGAGATGCAGAGCGTCCCATTTGCTGCTCCCTGCAGCCTCAGTCCAGCAGGAGATAAGGTATCACCGCTCCCTCTACCTCACAAGTTACTTAAGACAGTGGCAGCAAAGATTTCTCCTCCCATGTGCTCTTCCCATTATACGACTTTACTTCCTAGCCTCACTTGTTCTTCAGGTAGAGCCACGTGCTTGTTGCAGAGGAGAACAGAACACGCCAACTATGAATGGGGGAAGGAGTCTAGACAACCACTGACAGCCAGGTGGTCCTCACCTCAGCATGGCTCCAAGCCACATGGAGCAGGGGCAGAGTCCACTCCTCAGCCTCGCTAGCCCCCCCCGCAGGATCACAGCTAGAAACGTAACCCTCTTGCAGCCACTGCCGCACTGGCAACAGCTTTCGGCAGCCATCCAGGCCAACTGCCCACACAGATGTGAGATGCAAAACACTAAGCCATCCCACACAGATGCCCATCCAGCGCCTACCTGAACACCCCCAGTGGAGGAGGTTCCCCAAGCAGCTTGTTTTACTGCCCTGCTCTTCTGACAGCAAAGCAGCTAGTTTATCCCAGTGTTTGTATTTGCTGCTCAGCAGATACACACCTCTTAGGTGAGGGTATAAAAGCAGCCTCTGGACATAAGCGGGGAGCAAAAAGAGCAGGGGGGTGTCTTATAGCAGGTGTCTTAAAACACTACAAAATAAGGTATTCACAGCTTCTGGCTTAAGGAGTTTCATCTACAATGAGCGCGCCACGTGGCCCTGCACACCCTACTGGACAGTGGTTTCTCCCTCCTCTAAGGGACATTAAGACACCCTGATATATGTCTCCAAAAGCTGGAGTACGATCACTCAAAGGATACTTGCCATCAGGCAGCCCCTTCTTGCCATAGGCCCATTCAGGTTCGATTTCTAGCTGAGCCTTCTCCCCTCTACTCATGGTCAGGAGGGCTTCGTCCCACTGCAAGAGAAGTCACCATAAAGAGGCAATTTGCACATTTTCAATGGTAGAA